GTGGGGTTCAAGGTTTGAATAGCAATGACCTATGAGTTTGTTGCATCTATGCAAACTCCAAAACCCTGGAATAGTTGGAGGTGTAGTCATAAATGTGTACATTTTCTCTACACCTCACCAACATAGAGGCGTTTATCGCACGCCACCTCAAATTTCGCCTACTACTGTAGCCATCAGGGCAGATTCTCGCAGCGTGGGTCGATTTATTTTCTTAGGCTGCAATGTCGAAACCCTTGCTGCTGCTCCTGCTGCTTCCACCCGCTTTTGCCTCCTTGGCTGCAGCCGCCTTCGCCTGCTCCTCGCAGTACTTGGCCACCTGCCTAAACTTGGGCACGCTTTTGAGGTCAATCACGGTCTTGTCCTTGAGGGTGATGGAGATGTCGCCCCACTCGCCTATGAACCGCGGGGCTGACCGCACCTCTGATACCAGCTGTAGGTGGGGATGCAAGGGAGGGAGGACGAGAGGGAGTACGGGGATTTAGGAACACTCTTGAGGTCAATGACGGTCTTGTCCTTAGGGGTGATGGAGAGGGTGATGGATAAATCAAGGGGTAGATCACACCTCTGATACAGCTGCACAGTGGAAAGGGGGGAGAGAGAGTTGGAGATGAGGGAAATGAGCTGGAAGGGACAATCGCTCTCAAGGCCAAATAACGACGGTCTTGTCGTTGAGGGTTACAGATGGAGATGCTGCCCCAGTCGCCAATGAAGCGAGGAGCCGATCGAAGCTCTGCGACCAGCTATAGGATAAGGAAAGGGCGCGAGGACTTTCCTACAACAGTAGTTTGAGAGCGAAACCGAAGAAACGGTGACTCAGTGGTTGGTGAAACGACAGCACACGGTGAGCATGCAAAAGACGGACGCGAGGGTGAGCCATACTTTGACTTCAGGGTGTGCCTCTTACCGAGTACGGGTATTCCAGTCGTTCCGTCTCGTCCAGCTCCGACGTAACCATGAGTCAGCGGGTGGTGAAGCAGTAACGCGAGAGTCAGAAAACCCTCACCTAGTACATGCAATTGAGTTGCTTCTTACCGAGTACGGATATTCCAGTCTCTCCTTCTCATCCAGCTCCGACAGCACGGTGAATCGGCGGTTGGTGAAGCGGTAGCGCAGAGTCAACACGCGGAAGACGGAGGCGAGCGTGAGCGGCAGCCACACGCCCGTTAGGCCAAGCACGAGGTTGAGCGCGAGGTCGCCGATGTGCGGGCCGCTGTCGAAGAACACCTCCTGGTGTTGCAGGGGTGATGGGGGAAAGAGGAGGGGAAAGGGGGAAGAAGGGCGAGGCGAGGGTGAGCGGCAGCCACACGCCCGTGAGGCCCAGCATGAGGTTGCGCGCGAGGTCGCCAATGTGCGGGCCGCTGTCGAAAAACATCTCCTGGTGAGGATGGAGAAAGGGAGATGGGATGGGAAGACACGCACTCGAGCGAGAGAGCAGGTGTAGCGCGCGGTCGCGGATATGAGGGCCGCTGGAGAAAAAGATCTCCTGGCGTTGCGGAGGTAAGAGAATAATGGAAAGGGCCGTGGGGGAGAGGGGAGCCGCTCGCAGACAGGCGGAACAGCAGCTTAGATGGCGGCAGTGAGGCATGTATGCCATGGGCGGGTGGGCTGCTGTCCAAGGGGAAGCGTCGGTTGCGGTCGCATTTGAGAATTCTCAAGAAGCAGGCCGATTTGAAGCTTGGGAGGAGGCTCAGAGGCACGTATCCCATGGGTGGGTGGGCGGGCTGCTGTGTGGAAGTGGAAATGTCGGCTGCTGTCCCCTTTCCTCCCTTCCACCCGCCCTCCACTCTCTCCTCCTCTTTCCCTAACAGCGCCTTATCGCTTTGGTATTTGCTTCGTCATTCGCTTTAATATTCTGGTAAGGTGCCAGCCAGGCCCTCTCGAACCTTCTCGCCCATGCACCGCCCTTGCGTTCGTTAAAATGCAAATTAATCATTCACAACCAATGCAGACCATTCGTTCGCTCTCTGTAAAGCCATGCGGTGAATGACGTGCCATGCGATGGTAGAGGAAGAGAGGTAATGGCGATAGTAGTGGTGCCGGTCAGACGGCGATGAGCTGTCAGAGGCCAATGAGACACGTACCTCCGAGCTGGATGACGTGGCCGCGGCGACACTCCGCGTGGAAGCGGCTGCTGCTGACGTGGACGAGTGTAGCCGGAGAGAGGAGGACGAGAGCTGTGATCTTCCCCCCGTGAAAGCCGCTGTCGTCACCGACTTTCGAGCGGATAGAGGCGCGAACGGCTTAGACGAGGCGCCATTCGAGTCTGCCCTTCGCGATGCAGACGCGCAACTGGCGGCGGCTGCGACGGCGGCGGAGTGCCGAGCGAGAAGAGCAGACATGGCTGGTATCTGTCTTAAGCAGCAGGACGCAGCACGACAGGTCAGGAGCGTAGAAAACAGGCGAGAAAGGAATGGTAATAGCCTCTGACACCGTTATCCGAATCCTAACCTTGTCTACGTCCCAGCAGGCCGCCGCGTTGTTAAGCAAAAGCCAAGGAAAAAGTCGATGTTTTTCTATGATTCAGAGACGTTCAGGTGGGATAATTTAGCTTTCTGGCAACCCAAGGTAATGGTGAAATTCAAGACAGCTTTAGGAAAGGGAATGGTGTGAGCGGTGGGTTTTCCAATTGAGAGGTGGGGGAGGCTTAATTGCGCGGCTCGAAGAAACCGCGTCCTCAATTAACATTTTCTACCCATTTTGCTCACGATCCGGGCAACCCCGAACTCGGATAAACATTTTCTACGCGCGAGTCGGGAAATGTGAAAGTTATGGAATTTGAAATTGTGTGAACTGTATTTGGGATTTAGTGGTTGCCCGTGAATTACTAGCTGGGTCAACCTCGCAAGGTTTCGTCCATCCCCACGCGCAGATGTATGAAATCTCGTTAGGTTTAGTGGAGCTTGTCCAAGAAAACGTTGTCGTTAAAAACCCCCTTCTCTTAACACTTTAGGGCTTTCGCATTTGAATGTATGTGCTTAAAGCCGTTGACCCGAAACGTGCAAGATTAATAAACATGATAGGGGCAAAAAGTTGGACACGGCAGCGCGCAGGGGCGTAGGGCAGTTGTACGAGGTGGCGAGTGGTTTTCGCCAACGAGCGAGCGTCGCAACACTATGCGCGACAAAAACACTCTTGACGAAACCTCAGGAACCAATCAGGGCGCAAAAAAACCGAGCACGCAAAACACCGCCAATATAAAAGGACAAAGGGGGAGGGTGGGACGGAAAAGGGAAAGGAGGGGCGCGCTAGGCGCGGGAAGTTGGTTGGGGGGGTGGGGGGGAAGAAAGGAGAGAGTGGGAGTGTGGGTGGGGTGATGAACAGCGAACAACAGGAAGGCATACGTAAGGACGTGGTGCTTTTGGCGAGATTTGGGCTGTGCAACTTGACCCTGCTGCGCAACTCGTGTGGGTAACTTGACTTGGCAATTTTTGCCAAACAACTTTGGGGTGGGGTGGCGCACGAATATGAACTGTTGTAAAGAACATTGGTGTTTTCACGCTGTTCGCACGAAAAATGCAAATCGAAATACGAAATTAGATTTGGAGCGGGGAATCTAGTAACAAACAATTCGCTATCGTTTCAGGCACTTCGCAAACTGTGATTCCTGCGCTGCGTAACTTGACCCAGTTTTTGCAGAAGTATCACGCCCTTAAGCGTGGAGGCGCTGGGCTGGGTTGCACTTCAAAAGTCCCAAAAAAAAAGAGCACATGTTTCAAGTTTCTTTACGCTCAAACGCCTGATGTATCAGGGGCAGGGGCGGAATTGGCTGAGGATGGCGCACACCTATCACATGTTTCCCGTCTTTTTGGTGCGCGATCTTAGTTTTCCCTCTCGTTTTGCGGAACCGGATTACTAGAAGGGCAGTTTCAATATTAATAAACTCGAAATAAAATTTCTGCAATTTGGGTCAACGGCTTAAAAAAAAACCAAACGCAGCTTGGAGTTCGCGGAATGTCATTGTTTTGGTGGAGCTCACATCTCACTGCGTTTTGCAAGAAAACATATATAGGACGGGATCCTATGAATTTCTGCCGATAGTAAAAAAACTTTGGCACGTTTTGAGAAACTGTTTTGGCTGGCACTGTGGAATCTGGGCAGATGCAAACGAGTTTTACGCGGGAGAACACGAGAGTCCGTGGATTCTCATGAAAACTCATGCCCCTAAGCTCAACTTGCGCCACTAGCTAAATACCACTCGTAACAGGATAGCCTTGTCATCATTTCGGGCCATCATTTTGGGCAAGGGAAACATGAGAGTTCGTAGAAAGAAACGCGGTTAATCAAAAACGCATTTCCCGACTCGCGCGTAGAAAATATTTATCCGAGTTCGGGGTTGCCCGTGCCGTGAGCAAAACGAGTAAAACTTTTTAATTGAGGACGCAGTCTCATTGAGCCGCGAAAATCTGCCGGTAGGGGAGTTGGCTGGTTCGGCGTCGCGAGGTTCGGACGAGTGCTATGGATGAGGTGGCAGATGTTCTCTAGCAACGTCCACGTAGTCAAGCTCGAGTGTTGACTGGTGACGCGAAGCTACCAGAGATCCGCCAAGGTGGATTGAACGCGTGGAGCTTCTGTAGCCGAACCTGACATATGACCCGGGCATCTGACGTGTCATTCAGCTACCCCTTAGCCCCTCGTGGGTTGAAGGCCCAGGAGACTGACGAGGCAGCAACAGAAATTTCCGAAAGAGCTGACGTGGTATCGCGGGCAAAGAGGAAATTGTCCAGGACGCAAAAAGCAGGCTTTGAACCTGACGTGAATCGAACACGCAACCTTCTGATCTGGAGTCAGACGCGCTACCATTGCGCCACAGATCCGTGACTCTTTGCGAACTCATAAATAATCGGGCTTATTTTACAATTTCGGTGACTTGGCATGCGTTCGATGGGGTGCTGTTGGATTATGACGTCAGGCGCGCATCACCTCCAGCGCAACCAAGCTCCGCCAAACCCCATGCCACCGCTGGTGTGGCTTCTCTCCACCTTCATCCCATTTAGGTCGTGCGTGTCAGAAAGCCACATAAACTGCTGAAGTTTCGTCTACTCGTCACATTACGTTTCTTGATCAACTGAACACGCTCAGCGCGTCTTTAGCGACCCTACTCGCCTTTCAGGTCCAATTACCTCGTGTCCAGCGGATATCGTAGAACCAGTTATTAGAGTGCAGAATCCCGAACAGGTAGCTCTCCACAACCGCCAGCCACTGATGTCTCAGAATACCGATTGGCTGCATCCGAGCAGCTTCAGGATGCACACGTCAGCCCTCTCCCGAGTAGTTCCCCTGACAATCCCTGAGGACAGTCCCCTGCGCCCAGACGACGACGAACCAAGGCAGCCGGATACGGAATCCGGGGAAGACCGAACTCCGAGTCAGCGTCAAGGAGGAGCGGATGATGCGGACGTGGGAAGTTTGTCGAGCGTGTTCGGCCGTGCTCCGCTCACTAGGTGCCTGGCCATGCGTCGAGGCGCCTATGCGAACTGGGTCGTTCGCACGATAGTCACGCCAGATGGCGTTCGGGAGGTGTTTGGCCCGCCATAGCTGGCTGTCCTCATGGTTCCTATGCGGAAATATCGCCATTAGGTTATGCGTTTATGGGCTTCCGCAGTCTCGTTTTACAAGGCTGTAGGGAGTAGATGGTTTGATAGGTGTGTATCGTGGGCTGGAGTCATCACCCTAGGTGTGTTTGTACGACGTCTGTTTACCGTTTTTTTTTATGGGATTCCTCGGATCTTTATTCCTCCAGTACTCCTTGCCGTACCTTGGCCGTCGCATTTTGCTCAGATTGGACTTGGGTTACCATTCCCACCCGCGTCCCTCCCTCCAGCCCCTCCCTCCTTTCCCCACGCCCTTCTGTGTGCCCCCCTCCCCTCTATCCTCTCTCTCTCTCTCTCTCTCTCTCTCTCTCTCTCCCTGCTTCCCCTCCCCCCTCACTCCCTCTCTATGCCTGAGGGACCTACCACCTACCGGTACCGTCTCATTTGCATTTCTTGTTCTCCTGATTGCTCCCTCCCCCCCACTACCCCTTTCTAGTATCTCACATGTGATACTTCCGCTAGATTCTAGGCCAACCCGTGAAGGTACTTGCAGATGCTGAGTGAGTCATTTACTACCGGTACTTGAGATATGAAATGCTGTGTCGCATGCACTGCACGATTGCAAAGCACACTCTGCAAGTTGTGTTACAATCTTGCCAGCGGTTACCCAGTGTCTTGTCATGTCGGAGAGAGGACCTAGCAACTCAAGGCCCCACCAGAGATTCAAGCAAGGCCCTACCAGCACCTCAAGGCCCCACCAGCAACTCAAGGCCCCACTAGCGATTCAAATGCCCACCAGTGAAAGGCCCCATCACTGACCCAATGCCTCGTGTGTGGTACTGACCCGTGTGAACCATACAAAGCTACACATGTCCAGTACTGGCAGACACACACACATAGTGGTACCATTTGAGCTGGCAGTCACTACAGTCCTGCAAGAGCACGCTACAGCCATCCCCAACGTCTGCCCAAGTCACTGAATCCTAACTAACTAGCCCTCCGCCTCCGCCCTCGCCCAGGGAGTGACTAGTAGCCAGCTACTGGCAGGGCAAGCAGGGCCAGCAGACAGGTGATGGGAAAGAGAGAGCAGAGGGAAAGGTCACTGAAAGGACCTTTGAGGTGCCCACAATAAGCCCTTTCTGCACCCTCTTAGGCCAAGGCAGTAGCCAGCAGGAGGAGTAGGGAGGAAGTCAAGGGGATAATTTTTAGGTGCCTCAAAAATCGGCTCTTACGCCAAGGCAATGACCAGCAGCAGGAGCAGGCAGGAGGCCAAGGGGGAGAGAGCAGAGGCGGAAAGGCTGCTGCTGCTGGGCTTGTTGGGGGAATCAGAGGGGGAGGCAGTGGGGGATGTGGGCGGCGAGGGGGAAGGGGAGGAAGATGTGGGGGGAGAGGGGCTGCCAGCGGTGATGTTGGATGGGGGAGGGATGGGAGAGGAGGCGGGTGCAGAGGACGGGGAGGTGGAGGAGGGGAGAGCGGAGGAGGGGGGAGCGGAGGAGGGGGGAGCAGAGGAGGGGGGAGCAGAGGAGGGGGAAATGGAGGGGGGAGCGGAGGAGGGGGGAGCGGAGGAGGGGGGAGCGGAGGAGGGGGGAGCGGAGGAGTGGGGAGCAGAGGAGGGGGGAGCGGAAGAGGGAGCGGCAGCCGGTGTGGGTGGTCCTGTAATAAGGGCGAATGAACAGAGGAGTGGAGGAGAGAGGTAGGTAGGGCAGAGAGGGGAGGGCAGAGAGGGGAGGGCAGAGAGGGGAGGGCAGAGAGGGGAGGGAAGTGAGATGCGATGTTGAGACAAGGCGGAATGAGAGTGGGGAAGGCGCATGGCATGGCATGGCATGGCATGGCATGGCATGGTATGGCATGGCATGGCATGGCACGGCATGGCATGGCATGGTATGGCATGGTATGGCATGGCATGGCATGGTATGGCATGGTACGGCATGGCATGGCTTGGCAAGGGATGGCAAGGGATGGCATGGCATGACACGGCACGGCATGGCATGGCATGGCCCGGCACGGCATGGTGTGAACAGAGGCGCAATGCAGCAAGGGTGAAGGAGGGGAGAAACACAGCTAGGGCGTCCAAGGAGTGGAAGCGTGGGCATTCAGCAAAGGGCTCGATTCGAGCGTTCAGCATGCAGTGGGCAGAGGGCTCGCTCCGAGGAACTTCACAGCTGGACGCACCTGGGGCGAGGGAAGAGTAGAGTTGCGAGCACTCGGCAGGGTTCACTGTGGTCAGACAACTTTTTTAGTCGACTCGAAAGTCACCTCGTTACAATGTCACACAGCACTTTTTGGAGTCGACTCGAAAGTCACCTCGTTACAATGTCACACAGCACTTTTTGTAGTCGACTCGAAAGTCACCTCGTTACTATGGCACACAGCACTTTTTGGAGTCGACTCGAAAGTCACCTCGTTACAATGTCACACAGCACTTTTTGGAGTCGACTCGAAAGTCACCTCGTTACAATGTCACACAACACTTTTTGGAGTCGACTCGAAAGTCACCTCGTTACAATGTCACACGGCACTTTTTGGAGTCGACTCGAAAGTCACCTCGTTACAATGTCACACGGCACTTTTTGTAGTCGACTCGAAAGTCACCTCGTTACAATGTCACACAGCACTTTTTGGAGTCGACTCGAAAGTCACCTCGTTACAATGTCACACAGCACTTTTTGGAGTCGGCTCGAAAGTCACCTCGTTACAATGTCACACGGCACTTTTTGGAGTCGACTCGAAAGTCACCTCGTTACAATGTCACACGGCACTTTTTGTAGTCGACTCGAAAGTCACCTCGTTACAATGTCACACAGCACTTTTTGGAGTCGACTCGAAAGTCGTTTTCAGAGGTGGGCGCACCTAGGGTGAGGGAGGAGTAGAGCCGCGCGCAGTCGGCAGGGAACATTGGGGTCTGATCCTCAAGGGAGGGGTCTGCAGATGCCGATGGCTGGAAGCAGTTGGTAAAGAACCTGAGCGAGAAAGGGAGAGAGGGGGGGGAGAAGAGGGGGGGCAGAAGAGGGGGGCAGAAGAGGGGGGGCAGAAGAGAGATTGGGATGGAAAGAGTATATTGTTCTGGTTATTCGGCAGGGCAATCGTGAAAGCGGCGGGAGAAGGAAGTGCAGGGAAGCAGGGAGAGAAGGGAGAGCAGGGAGAGCAGGTGGCTGTGATCCACAAGTGAGGGGTCTGCAGCTGCTGCTGGTGGCTGGCACAGTTAGTCCCAAAGGAGGGCGGTTGATGGGAGGGAGGGAGGGGCAACATGCAGGACTCATTTGAAAGTAACGTCTCTCTAAAAGCCCCATGCCTACGTGCCTGTGGGATCCAATTTCTCAAGACTCACTTAAAGTTAATGTCACGGCCAGCAGGCACTTTGGGCACGGAGCCGTTGAGGAAATTGGAGCTCACGTCCCTGGAGAGGTTAGGTCAAACGAGAGACGGGAGGGAGGGGCATCGTTTAGAGTGTTTCAAAGTGTTTCAAAGTGCCGCACCACCAGCAGACACTCTGGGCAGGGAGCCGTTGAGGAAGTTGGAGCTCACGTCCCTGGAGAGGTTTAAGGGTTAAGGGAGGGAGGGAGAGAGGGAGGGAGGGAGAGAGGGAGGGAGGGAGGGAGGGAGGGAGGGAGGGAGGGAGGGAGGGGAGTCTGCTTTTAAGTCGACTAAAAAACGGAGCCGTTGAGGAAGTTGGAGCTCACGTCCCTGGAGAGGTCAAATGGGAGAAGGGAGAGAGGGAGGGAGGGGCGTGTTTTAGAGTGTTTCAAAGTGTTCTAAAGGGCCTCACCACCAGCAGGCACCTTGGGCACGGAGCTGTTGAGGTAGTTACCACTCACGTCCCTGGCGAGGTCGAATGGGAGAAGGGAGAGAGGAAGGGCCGTCATTAGAGTGTTTCAAAGTGCCTCACCACCAGCAGGCACTTTGGGCACAGAGTGCTGAGGTAGTTGCCACTCACGTCCCTGGAGAGGTCAAATGGGAGAAGGGGGAGAGGGAGGGAGGGAGGGAGGGAGGGGCGTCTTTCAATTTGTTCTACGTGCCTCTCACCACCAGCAGACACTCTGGGCAGGGAGCCATTGAGGTAGTTGCAGCTCACGTTCCTGGGGAGGTGAGGTCAAACGAGAGACGGGAGGGAGGGGCACGTTTCGAGTGTTTCAAAGTGATCCGAAGAGCCGCACCACCAGCAGACAATTTGGGCAGGGAGCTGTTGGGGCAGTAGCAGCTCACGTTCCTGGGCAGAAAAGATGGGAGGGGGAGAGGGAGGGATGGGTGGGGTGTTGTCTTCTTGAAGTGGCTTACTACCAGCATGCACCTTGGGTGCGGAGCCATTAAGGTAGTTGCCCCTCACGTCGCTGGGGGTGGGGAGGTGAGTGACAGGAGCTCTCTCTTTAGACATAGTACGGAAGGGGGTTGGGGGTGGAGGGGAGGGTGTGGAAAAGGGAGGGCGGGGAGTGCTGGAAGGGCGAAGAGGGGTGCAGAGCGGTTGGGATTCGAAGGGGTGCAGCAGCTTGGTAGGGGTCGTGAGAGCGAGGTGGCTTTGAGGCGATTCAAAGGGGCAGAAGAGGAGGGCGGCATAGAGGCGAACTCACAGCTCGTTGAGGGCGGTGGGGAACTCACAGGCTGGTGAGGGAGGTGGGAGCGAATAGCTGGGAGGCAGGAGGCAGGGGGCCCCACAACTCGTTGTCATACAGGATGCTGTGGAAAGGAGGCAGGGGGAAAGGAGGCAGGGGGAAGACGGCGGGGAAAGGAAGGGAAGAAAAGGGCGGTGGGATGGGAAAAGTGCGCCGTACAACGGGTTGCTGTAGACTGTTTCTCAACTGACATGTGTGCATGCATGTGATCATGCATGTGTGCATGCATGTGGGCATGCATGTCGGCACGCATGTGTGCATGCATGTGGGCACGCATGTGTGCATGCATGTGGGCACGCATGTGGGCATGCATGTGGGCATGCATGTGGGCATGAATGTGTGCATGCATGTGGGCATGCATGTGTGCGTGCGATGACAATCTCACAGGTTGTATAGCTCGTGTTTCGCAATCGCCTCACAGTTTCTTGCGATCATGAATCATGCATGTACCTTCACATGTTCATGCATGTACCTTCACATGTGCACGCATGTACCTTCACATGTTCATGCATGTACCTTCACATGTGCATGCATGTACCTTCACATGTGCATGCATGTACCTTCACATGTTCATGCATGTACCTTCACATGTGCACGCATGTACCTTCACATGTTCATGCATGTACCTTCACATGTGCACGCATGTACCTTCACATGTTCATGCATGTACCTTCACATGTGCACGCATGTACCTTCACATGTTCATGCATGTACCTTCACATGTGCATGCATGTACCTTCACATGTGCATGCATGTACCTTCACATGTTCATGCATGTACCTTCACATGTGCACGCATGTACCTTCACATGTGCATGCATGTACCTTCACATGTGCACGCATGTACCTTCACATGTGCACGCATGTACCTTCACATGTGCATGCATGTACCTTCACATGCGCATGCATGTACCTTGGCATGTCAGCAATACACCCACATGTCAGCAATACACCCACATCTCAGCGAAACGCCCACATGTCAGCAGCACACCCACATGTCAGCAACACACCCACATGTCAGCAGCACACCCACATGTCAGCAACACACCCACATGTCAGCAGCACACCCACATGTCAGCAACACACCCACATGTCAGCAGCACACCCACATGTCAGCAACACACCCACATGTCAGCAGCACACCCACACCCACACCCACATTTCTTTTATGCTCTTCAGCTTGAGCAGGAAGGAGGGGAAGCGGCTGCGGATGCGGGCAGCGGGTGCAACGAAATGCTCCAGAGATGTCATCCCCGTCCAAGCGTCTGGGAACGATCCGTCCACATACAGCTTCTGCACATTACTGCCGGAGGGAATGGGGGCGGAGGGGAGGAATGGGGGCGGGGCGGAGAGGGGGGGTCCGGGAATGGGGGTTACGGGGGGCAGGGAAGAGGGGTAGAGGAAAAAGGGCGTGAGAGGGGAAAGTGGAGGGTAGGGGGGAGGGGATGGGTGGGGGGGGGGGGAGGCAGAGGAATGCAGGAGAGAGGGTTGGAAGGGTTTTTTTGTAAAGAATTGTAGCAAATGACTCCTCGGTTGAAGGGGTTCCTAGAAGGTATGAATGGTCTGCCAAGGTGCTGTTTAAGCAAGGGACTTGGTTCTTATGGCCGCTCTCCCTCCACTGACAAACCTGGTAGATAGCTGCAAGCTCGGTCCGGCTGACTAAACTCACTGAAAACCAAACACAAGGGACCCTGGAAACAGCTAAAACGAACTTGGTTCTTACAGCAGCTCTCACCTCATTCTCACATCATTCTCACATCATTCTCACATCATTCTCACATCATTCTCACATCATTCTCACATCATTCTCACATCATTCTCACATCTTCTCACATCATTCTCACATCATTCTCACATCATTCTCACATCATTCTCACATCATTCTCACATCATTCTCACATCATTCTCACATCATTCTCACATCATTCTCACATCATTCTCACATCATTCTCACATCATTCTCACATCATTCTCACATCATTCTCACATCATTCTCACATCATTCTCACATCATTCTCACATCATTCTCACATCATTCTCACATCATTCTCACATCATTCTCACATCATTCTCACATCATTCTCACATCATTCTCACATCATTCTCACATCATTCTCACATCATTCTCACATCATTCTCACATCATTCTCACATCATTCTCACATCATTCTCACTCATTCTCACATCATTCTCACATCATTCTCACATCATTCTCACATCATTCTCACATCATTCTCACATCATTCTCACATCATTCTCACATCATTCTCACATCATTCTCACATCATTCTCACATCATTCTCACATCATTCTCACATCATTCTCACATCATTCTCACATCATTCTCACATCATTCTCACATCATTCTCACATCATTCTCACATCATTCTCACATCATTCTCACATCATTCTCACATCATTCTCACATCATTCTCACATCATTCTCACATCATTCTCACATCATTCTCACCTCAGCTCGAGCTTCTAGAGTCCAGCCCAACCCAACTCGCTGGTTTTGAGTCGACTCGAAAGCGGCACAAGGGAGACTTGGGTCTTACAGCAGGGCGGCACAAAGGAGAGACTCGGGTCTTACAGCAGGGCGGCACACGGGAGACTCGGGTCTTACGGCAGGGCGGCACAAGGGAGACTCGGGTCTTACAGCAGGGCGGCACAAGGGAGACTCGGGTCTTACAGCAGCTCGAGGTTCTTGAGCGCTCCCCAGCTCGCTGGCAGGGGCCCTTTGAAAGAGTTGCCCCCAATGTCCCTGCTCACACACCAGCGCAGGGGATAGAAGATTAGTTTTGAGACGTCTATAATCTCATATCACATTGGAAGAGTTGGAAAGTGGGGAGTGACTGACAGGGGCCCTGGAAAGAGTTGCCCCCAATGTCTCTGCTCGCACACCAGCGCAGGGGCAAGGCAGGCGGAGGGCAAGGGGGAGGCAAGTCACGTCAGGGCAAGTCACGTCAGGGCAAGTCACGTCAGGGCAAGTCACGTCAGGGGCAAGGTAGGATACAGGACGGTGGGCTCCTGGCAGGACGGTGGGTTCAAGCCTCTAAGCCGCTAGACTGCAGCGTCACAGAGGAGACTTGTGACTGGCCACAGGCAGAGGGATGGTGTTATGAGATGATTCAGCAGGCGTGCTGTTGAGGCGTTTCAAAAGCAATCTATTCAGCACCGTTACAGCGCGCACAATGCGCGCGTCTCACACTTTCTTGAGCTGCGTCAAGCTCCTAAGTGTGGGGTGGCCGGCAGCTCCTGAGTGTGGGGTTGGCGGCAGCGCCCCCGACATTCGGTTCTTAGAGAGGGCGAGCGACGTCAGATTGGTGAGGGCTGAAACGCATTGTGACGGATTGCCGTATTCACAGCGGCCTACAGTCTCTTGAGCTGCCTCAAGTTGCAGAGTGCAGTTCAGGCAGGCAGCAGCACCCCAGGCATTCGGTTCCGAGAGACAGACGGGGCCACGGGAGACAGCTGAGGGTCTATGTGCCATAAACGATTCTTGAGCGACTTACAGTGTCTTGAATGTCTTGAGCAACTTTCAGTTTCTTGAGTGCCTTGAGCGACTTACAGTGTCTTGAGTTGAGTCATGTTCCCAAGTGCGGGCAGTAGGACCCCGGACATTCGGTTCTGACCCACTGCAAGCCACGTGAGTTTCCTGAGAGTGACAATGCCAGGAGGGATGGCCCCCGTGATGTCGTTCAGGCTCACATCGCTGCGAGGGGGGTAGAGGGGGGAGGGAGAGATGGGGGAGGGGGATGAGGGGAGAAGGGGATATGGGGTCACGTGGGAATGCCAAGAGGGGTGGCCCCTGTGATGTAGTTCAGGCTCACATCGCTGCGAGAGAAACGAGGGGGAGAGGGGACGAAAGGGAGAGGAAATGGGGGAGGGGGGGGCAATAGGGAGAGGAGATGCGGGAGAGCGGAGGTGAAGATGGGGAGGCTGGTGAGGTGAGGGGGGGGGGTAATGGCACGCCGGTGGGGCTGGTGGGATGGGCGCTGCTGGGGTTCAGCCTCATGCTGGGGCCTTTTGAGTCGACTCAAAAGTCGCCGGTGGGGCTGGTGAGATGCCGGTGGGGCTGCTGGGATGGGCGCTGCTGGTGTGGTGCCACATCCCGTGATGAAGTAGTTTAGTGTCGAGATGTCCCAAAGCTTAACTACTTGGCAGGGTTTGGGAAGGTTTTCTTTCTAGGCGACTTGACAATCGCAAATGGGCAGGGTTCGGTCCGGCAAGGGGGGGAAATGGATTGCTTGGGATGCTGTAAAGTTCACGTGCGTGGGACTGCTGAGAGTGGCACTGCCAAGTGGGATGGCCCCCTGTGATGCGGTTTAAGGGCAAGTCGTTGTGAGGGGAAAAAAATGGGAGGGGGAAGAGAGGGGAATTGGAAAGGATGGAGGAAGAAGATTGAAGGAAGAGAGGAAGAGAGGAAGAGAGGAAGAGAGGAAGAGAGGAAGAGAGGAAGAGAGGAAGAGAGGAAGAGAGGAAGAGAGGAAGAGAGGAAGAGAGGAAGAGAGGAAGAGAGGAAATGCGGGACGATGGGAATGAGGGGAAGAGGAAGTGGGAAATGGAGGAAGATGGGAATGACGCACAGCTTCCCCTGAGTCGACTCGAAAGACTTTTGGGCCAAAGCCTCAGTCTCTTTCGAGTCGACTCGAATGACAAACAGTTGCTAGGAAGGCTACTCACAGCTTCTGGAGTGACTTCAAGTCAAGGCGGAAACCCCGTTTGCCATGGGCCCCTTGAATCTGGTGTCCCTTTTCCATCTGCGACTCCTTGAACGTGCTGCAGTGCAGTCAGCCCTTGCGCAATGTCATGACTTCTGAGCCGACTCAAAAGTCACCATGAATCTGGTGTCCCTTTTCCATCTGCGACTCCTTAAACGTGCTGCAGTGCAGTCAGCCCTTGCGCGATGTCATGACTTCTGAGTCGACTCAAAAGTCACCATGAATCTGGTGTCCCTTTTCCATCTGCGACTCCTTGAACGTGCTGCATTCAGCCCTCGCGCGAGGTCGTGTCATGTCATACCATGCCATTATGCCATGCCATGCGATGCTATGGTCTGGGTCCAGGCAGGGAGGACTTTTGAGTCGGCTCAAAAGACATGCCATGTGATGCGATACCATGGTGTGGGTCCAGGCAGGGACGCAACGCAACTCACAGCTTCTCGAGTGACTTCAAGGCGGAAACCTCGTTTGCCATGGGTCCGATGAACCTGTTGTCCTGAAACATTCTGCAGTCAGCCCTCGCATGTGGTCGTGCCGTGCCACGCACACACACATGCATCCACGCATGCATCCACGCATGCACACACACAAGCACGCACACATGCACGCATACATGCACGCACACATGCACACACACATGCACACACACATGCACACACACATGCACACACACATGCACACATGCATGCATCCACGCACACATACATCCATGCACACATGCACGCACGCACACACATAGAAAAGACAGCATCGAAATCTCCAGGTTGAGACCAATGGGCAGAACAGTAGCTTGTGGGATGAACAGTAGCTTTCAAGGGATAGAAATGCATCTATTTTTGAGGCGCCTCAAAAATAGATTCCTCATGCATGAGCAATAGCTATCAAGGGATAGACAAGCATCACCAAATGGTGAACACTACTCGTGGCATTTCTATCACAAAAAACGCATACACACTCTCGCGAGCGAGACTAGTTTCCAGCTCTTCAAGACTTTCTGCTAGTTTGGAGACTACCTTGAGCCAGCACAGGCTCACATGTCATTAGCAGGAGAGCAGGAGAGCAGGGAGAGCAGGAGAGCAGGAGAGAAGGAGAGCACGGAGAGCAGGAGAGCAGGGAGAGCACGGAGAGCAGGAGAGCAGGAGAGCAGGGAGAGCAGGAGAGCAGGAGGGCAGGAGAGCAGGAGAGCAGGGAGAGCAGGAGAGCAGGAGGGCAGGAGAGCAGGAGAGCAGGAGAGCAGGAGAGCAGGAGAGCAGTAGAGCAGGAGAGCAGGAGAGCAGGAGAGCAGGAGAGCAGGAGAGCAGGAGAGCAGGAGAGCAGGAGAGCAGGAGAGCAGGAGAGCAGGAGAGCAGGAGAGCAGGAGAGCAGGAGAGCAGGAGAGCAGGAGAGCAGGAGAGCAGGAGAGCAGGAGAGCAGGAGAGCAGGAGAGCAGGAGAGCAGGAGAGCAGGAGAGCAGGAGAGCAGGAGAGCAGGAGAGCAGGAGAGCAGGAGAGCAGGAGAGCAGGAGAGCACGGAGAGCAGGAGAGCAGGAGAGCAGGAGAGCAGGAGAGCAGGAGAGCAGGAGAGCAGGAGAGCAGGAGAGCAGGAGAGCAGGAGAGCAGGAGAGCAGGAGAGCAGGAGAGCAGGAGAGCAGGAGAGCAGGAGAGCAGGAGAGCAGGAGAGCAGGAGAGCAGGAGAGCAGGTTCAGCTAGGGAAAAGGGTATAAGCCTTGAGATGGGGGGCACGATCCGGGCAACTTTAGAGTCGACTCAGGAGTCATCCGGAGCTTCTAGAAGCAGACGAGGGGGAGACGAGCAAGGAGCATGGAGCAAGGAGCAGGGAGCAGCAACACCTCCAGAGCAGTAATTTTTTGAAAGGTCTCAGTGAGAGATTTTTTAGAATTCTAAAAAATCTCAGATCTCCATTTTCCAGATCAGCCATTCTGCCTAAGATCGCCCCTCTGAGCGCTTTGAAAGGCAAAAAACAGGTAAGCTCTCACATTTCCTTGAGCTGAGGGAGCTTGGGCACGACCAGAGCACAATTCGTACCCCGCCTTTAGTGACGACTCGAAACAGGCAAGCACTCAGCCTCGGAAGCGTATCCCCGAACCGGTGCCATGCTGCCATCTGCACCCTTGAGCTGGGAGAACTTGGACACGGCCGGAGGCAGCATGAGCCCGCACACGTCGTTCCCCGCCTTAAGAGACGACTCAACAGAGGCAATCATCATTTCCTTGACTTGGGAGAAATTGGACGGAGGCAGCACAGGCCCAGAGAAGCGACCTCGTTCCCCGCCACGTTGACGAGCACCGGATTCGCCAGAGCTGTCATCCTTGAGAATTCAATTCCAGAAAATCATCCCGCCCCTTCGGGAATCTTGAAAGAGAGAAAAACGCGGGGAATCACATCTCCTGGAGCTTGGAGAAGTTGGAGATGACAGGAGGCAGCAGGGGCCCGAGACGCCATTCCCCGCCTTAGAGGCATCTAAAAAACCAAGGCAAGCACTCACATTTCTCTGAGCTTGAAGAACTTGGAGATGACAGGAGGCAACACGGGGCCCGAGACCTCGTTGCCCGCCACGTTGATGAGCACCAGGTTCGCCAGAGCCGTCATCTTGCCCCACGGGATCTCCCCCTTGAGTGGGCCGGGTGTGCTGCCACGTGCGTAGGTTAGATCCTTTCCCACCATTGCCTCATTGGGTATGTCGCTGCACGCACAGAAAGCAAGGGCAGGGGATGGCAATCAGATTTATCTATCTCCGCGCCTCAATAATAGACGCCATTGCCGCATTGGGTATGTCGCTGCCGGCACAGAAAGCAGAGGGGGGGGGGTGGTGGTCAGATGTGTAGATGCCTCAAGATCCACGCCACGTTGACGAGCTCAAGATTCGCCAGAGTCGTCACCTTGCCCCACGGGATCTCCCCCTTGAGTTCCCCGGGCGTGCTGCCACGGGCGAAGGATTGATCCCTTGACAGGACTTCTGCAGGGGTTGCATAGTTTTGAGGCGCCTCAAAACTAGACTTCTATTCTGCGGGGGTCGCAAGTTAGAGGAGCAGGTGATTGCTGCTGTGGGCTCTCTCTCCTGTGGTTTCGTACAAGGTGGGGCGGGGGGCACTCACATGGCGTTGAAACACACGTCCTCTCTGTCGCACGTCATCCACCCGCAGAACTGCACGCACATCTTGGAGGTCTCGTACGTCAAACCCAGGGGCACGTCAAACCCAGGGCTATGTCAAGCCCCAACCTCGTTCCTCCTCGCATGCCCCGGAACTCACATGGCGTTGACTCGTCCCTCCACGTCGCACGTGATCCACTGCCAGAACTGCACGCACGGCTTGCTGTTCTTGTACGTCATTCCCAGGGACACGTTGGCCCAGCTCCCCCACTTGAAGAACACTGGATGGTTGTTGAAGGCCGCCGCGAACGCCAGGAGAGCCGCCTCTGCAGGAAAGGACGGGGCAAGGATGGATGGTAGGGACGACTACTTATGATCCCTTGGGGCGACTCACGGCAATGGATGGTTTCTGCAGCTGCGTGAATGGGCCGGATAGCAAGAGACGGGCTGGATAGCAAGAGACGGGCCGGATAGCAAGAGACGGGCCGGATAGCAAGAGACAGGCCGGATAGCAAGAGACGGGCCGGATAGCAAGAGACGGGCCGTATAGCAAGCGACGGACCGGATAGCAAGAGACGGACCGGATAGCAAGAGATGGGCCGGAGAGCAAGAGACGGGCCGGAGAGCAAGAGACGGGCCGGAGAGCAAGAGACGGGCCGGCCCCGGGAATGAGTGACACTGCGACTTTGAGCCGGCTCTCTATCAGCAATGGACTTTGAGCCGGCTCTCTATCAGCAATGGACTTTGAGGGTCCGCTGGACTTCCTCTATCAGCAATGGACTTTGAGCCGGCTCTCTATCAGCAATGGACTTTGAGCCGGCTCTCTATCAGCAATGGACTTTGAGCCGGCTCTCTATCAGCAATGGACTTTGAGCCGGCTCTCTATCAGCAATGGACTTTGAGCCGGCTCTCTATCAGCAATGGACTTTGAGCCGGCTCTCTATCAGCAATGGACTTTTTGAGCCGGCTCTCTATCAGCAATGGACTTTGAGCCGGCTCTCTATCAGCAATGGACTTTGAGCCGGCTCTCTATCAGCAATGGACTTTGAGCCGGCTCTCTATCAGCAATGGACTTTGAGCCGGCTCTCTATCAGCAATGGACTTTGAGCCGGCTCTCTATCAGCAATGGACTTTGAGCCGGCTCTCTATCAGCAATGGACTTTGAGCCGGCTCTCTATCAGCAATGGACTTTGAGCCGGCTCTCTATCAGCAATGGACTTTGAGCCGGCTCTCTATCAGCAATGGACTTTGAGCCGGCTCTCTATCAGCAATGGACTTTGAGCCGGCTCTCTATCAGCAATGGACTTTGAGCCGGCTCTCTATCAGCAATGGACTTTGAGCCGGCTCTCTATCAGCAATGGACTTTGAGCCGGCTCTCTATCAGCAATGGACTTTGAGCCGGCTCTCTATCAGCAATGGACTTTGAGCCGGCTCTCTATCAGCAATGGACTTTGAGCCGGCTCTCTATCAGCAATGGACTTTGAGCCGGCTCTCTATCAGCAATGGACGGTCACTGAATGGTTGCTTTCGAGTCGAGTCAAAGGCAGGCTCTCTAGGGGCAGAGGACGGTCACTGAGTGGTCGTGATGCGAAGGGAAACGGTTCATCATGCTGTAGTAGGTGATTTTTGGGAATTCTCGATATAGCCGCATTAGTAGCATGATGGCACGAGTGCGTTCTGGCACGAGTGCGTTTTGACACGAACTCCACGACACGAGCGCGCGCATGGGAGTCCGACTGCATTTCCGCAGTCACCGTTGCCAACTGGTGGCAGAGGAAATGGACCACTCTCACCGATTGCGCAATCTATACCATATATTAGTGCTACTACTACTACGCGCAGAGGAAGGCGGTGCAAGCAGTCGACTTAATATCACGAGGCGTGGCGTGACCGTCACGGAAAAGGGAAGCGACTTCACAAAACTGACGGGGTGGTGCAAGCAAAGGCGAAACCCTGACGCGTCGACTCGAACCTGACGCGTCGACTCGAACCTGACGCGTCGACTCGAACCCTGACGCGTCGACTCGAACCTGACGCGTCGACTCGAACCCCGACGCATCGACTCGAACCCTGACGCGTCGACTCGAACCTGACGCGTCGACTCGAACCTGACGCGTCGACTCGAACCCCGACGCATCGACTCGAACCCTGACGCGTCGACTCGAACCCCGACGCGTCGACTCGAACCCCGACGCGTCGACTCGAACCCTGACGCGTCGACTCGAACCCCGACGCGTCGACTCGAACCGTGAGATCACCGGCGCGGCGAGAACTGCTCGGGAAGCGGCAACTCGTTTTCGCGACCTAGTACGGAATAGTATTACGGAATTTACGAAGCATTACTTTCGGCCAAGGCGACGGCATCGGGCGTGGTGAAGCCAGGGATGGGCAAAATCTCGACTTGCGCCACACAGCCAGGAACCACCACCACCATCGCCGCCAGCAGCCGCAGCAGCAGGAGCGCCGCCGCCGGCAGCTGCAGTGCGCCGAGCGGCGGCGAGCGCGGAGTGCGACGTGGCGGATGCGCCATGACCAGCCGCCGAGGGCAGAGCGTGCCACTGAGCCTGAGCGGTGGACTGAGGCCGGCGCTGACTCGGATGGGGTAGTTTTGAGAGTTGCTGCTGAGCCTGAACGGGGACGATGGACTGAGGCCGCCGATGGGCTGCTGCGCTCAGGCTGACTCGTCAGAATGCCGCGGCGTTTCACGCGACCCGCGCAGAAAGCGCGGGCTAGGGGGGATGGCGGAGCAGCTGGGAGCAGCTGGGAGCAGGCGCGGAGCACAGTCGGACTCGCGGGCCTAGAGCGGACTGCGCACGGAACTGAGGCTGAGCCTGCCGCGACACTGTCGTAGTGCCTAGTTCTAGTAGGTGACTTGCGCCTGTTCGATGGGAGTGCTTCTGCTCGTACTAGATCTAAATGAAGAGGACACAATCCTGCTCCGTAGTCTGCGTGGTTCAGCTTGCTCGGCTGTGCCTGAACGGAGGTCGTCTAAGAGCGTGTCCAAAGTGCTATTTGTCATCCGTTCTGTCATCCAGCGGATGACAGCGGATGACAGAAACTGCAGAATTACACTTTTGACGCCAACAGTCGAAGCACCCACCGTAACAGTGGGAGACGTGCCGTTTGCGGGCGGCTGTGGGCAGACAATTTGAAAATTCAAACTTTTGATTCAAATTTTACGCCTTCGCGGGCCCTACCTCGTCATTTTCGTCAACCTCGAAACAGGCAACTGAAAGTGGCATTGACGAAACCAATTTGTAACATCATTGGCGATTCGCCAAAGTTGCATGGCTTCGCATACACGTGCGAGTTTCATGAATTTCTCCAAGCTGTTTTTCGCAACGCGTGATTTCGTGCGTGTGGCGCCAAAATTGACTGTACATTTTGGGGTGCACTGTCCCGTTATCCTGCCCGACCAGACTGTTCCGGTTTTTGGACTGTAGTCTGTCATCCGTTCTGCCATCCGTTTGCCATCCGTTCAGCCAGGGTCCCTGCACAGCACTTTGGATGCGCTAAAACGGCTTGGCAGCCTCTGTCATCCATTCTGTCATCCGCTATCATCCGCAAAACTAATACTTTGGACACGCTCTAAGGTTCAGAAAAGACGGCGCATGCCATATGTTTGCTACGGTACAGTAGGACAAAGCGGTGAAATGTAGAACTTGTCGAGGTCCGCAAGGTATTCTCCTGCCCATTTGAAGCATCACCGATCTGAATCCCCGCAAAAAATTCCATCGTGTTCAAAAAAAAATATTGACATTGACCCGCTTGACTCCTCGCCACGTGCGATCGAGATTTGCCCAGCTGGCGCGGGGCAGGATTCGCGGTGCTGGCACAAACGGCTCCCTATGGTGGGCTGGGGTGTAAGGAATTACCATTCCTTACTGGGGCTCGCCACAGCGAGTACACGCGAACCTATCGGGTCCGCAGGCTCGGCCCTTGGTTCTCGCGCCAAACCAGCCCCTGCCGACGACTCGGCCCCAACCTGATCCCGAGTCGCCCCAAACCCATTTTGACCCCGTCACCCTCGGGACTATCGAGCCCTTGACTGGTCCAAACCTCGACATTCACCCTGGTCAACTCGCCCTATATATTGCGTAGGCCTCATTTCTATTGAGACATTTTGTAATCACGTTCCCCTTTAGTATTATGCGCTATACTCTGAGTTATAATTCATAACAGCTGGTATCAGAGCTACGTTCCTGGCCATTAGGCTTTAGATAGGGGAGCAGACCCTATCGGGGAAGGGGGCGGAAGGATGCTGATGGCGAGCTCATGTCGCGGAGATTAATTGCGCGGGCGTTGCCGATGCCGTCAGATCCTGTCCGATGGACGACTAGGATTAGCCGATCCTCCCCTTCCCCGGGCGTAGACGGAATTAATTTTCGTCGAAGAGTGGGCGACCTTTTCGCCGTTTTTTCGGGTATGTTCGTTAGAGCTTTCGTATTTTTCAGGTGTTCGGACGAAGTGTTCGGATAGGCTTCTGAAAATAGCGAGGAGTCGTCAGGCGGCCGGGAGTTGGTCGTCAGGAGCGCGCGGGGTAGCGAAAATGGCGAGACGTTTGACGAAGTACGTCTGGCACGCCATGCAGCGGCAGGGTGAACTGTAGCTGTGTTGCGGGTCCGGCGTTTCCGGCAGGCTAGTTGCAGGCGATGGACAGGACTTCAGAAATTATTTCGGCAATAGGCGGATCCGACAAATTCGGAATGACACGATCGCACGAGGACGTTTGGGTGTGCAGTTGTGTGGGAGCAGTTGGGATTAACGACCTCGGCGCTCTTCACCACGACGGCCATCTGGAGGTGATGACGCCGCTGGAGTGAGTGTACTCAGCGAGGGCGACTTCCCTCATTGGGAGGCGTTTTTTCGTGGACCAGCGATTCATACCCCCACGATCAACGGAAACGGAGGCCACCACCCTTGGGTGTGTATTAAGTGTTTTTCCACCGGTCGCCGAAAGTGTTAACTGCCAGTAGCTGAAGCAGTGGAAGAAGAACGACGGGAGTACTGGAGCAGTTAAGGGTTAGCGGCATTCGGGCTGCTGCTTGCTTAGCTACGTTGCCAGAAAATCACCATCCCCATCAGGTAGCAGTGTCGACTTGTTAATCGACGGCTCTTGGCTGAATAAGGGGGGTGAACCTGCAAACTACAATGTGCTGGTGGAGTGTCCCCGAAAATTCAGGAGTTACTCTTGCAGTGGAGCTGAGGGTTTCACCTGGTGCAGCAGAAGGAGTTTCCGACTTTTGCTGGTGTAGTTCGACGAGTTTCCGACGGAGGAGGCAGCTGTCCAGCGGTCAGTAAGCGAGCTCGTTAAAGCTTCTCTGACTAGAAGCGTGCGCACTCCTATCTCTGCGGATTCTCCTTAGTTAGTTAAGTAGCAGCGAAGTGGTTTTGGGTAACCTGCAGCGGCCGTGGGATGACTGAACGTCTGCACGGCCAGCTGGACAGGGGTACCGGAGAATTTCTGGATTTGGGTAACTGCTGGGCAAAGATCGACGGCGTATGATGCGCATTGACCCTGATCGACGGCCAAAACATCATGCCGAGGCGGTGGACTCCGGTAATCCATAATATAAAGGGTTCAGTTGATGCGTACAGCTGGTGGAGAAACCGTGGGGGCGCTGCTTAAGGACGCCTGGATTAAGTGTCGAGGGAGTTCCGATATTTTCGGCGTACAAGCTGGTAGCAGTCATGAAGTTTACAGCTGGAGTTGTGCCCGCTATCTTCAAGGGTATGAGCGATATCGACCTACTTTTGCGAAGTATACGGGGTACATGGAGCGGAGGGAGAACAGTTGCTGTTTTCGGTTCTTCCCGAAAATTTCAGCGTATACGGACAAAGAAGCTGATGCAGCTGGCGTCATTTGAAATCGGATTTTGTTCCCTGGGTGACGCCTGGGTGTTTTCCGGGTAGCTGTGAAGCAGAGTTGCGGTATTCGCTAAGTTCCACGTGGAGTTCCGATATTTTCGGTGTAAAAGCTGGTAACAGTGCTGAACTTTACAGCTGGAGTTGTGCCCCCTATCTTCAGGGGTACGAACAATATCGACCGAATTTTGCGGAGTATACTGGGTACATGGAGCGGAGGGAGAGCAGATGCAGTTTTGGTTCTTCCCTAAATTTTCGGCGTGTACGGACAAAGAAGCTGATGCAGCTGGCGTCATTCGACCATGGGTTCTGTTCGACGTTTCTCACTGGAGCAGTTCAGTATAGGTTACAGGTCGTCGCCATCGTCGTCTTCCTCTCGCCGCCACCCGCTACCGCCTCCGTTAACAATTCGGTTGATTCGCAGACAGTCTGAACACGACCCGCAGCATCATCGCCACCCATCAGGAGCAGTATCGAACCGAAACGATTTTTGCAGCGGTCCTGTTGGAGCTGTGTTGGGACCAGCTCACAAGCAGTGTTTGACTTCTGAAAAATTTTGAGCTTGTCTGGGAGTCTTCCGAAGCAGTTACTTCTGAGTTTTACGACCTTTGGAGCGGTTTACCCTGCAAGAGTTTCACATTTGGAGCATATTTGGGATTTCTCGCGCTTGGAGTTTTGGAGCGGACTCTTCGAAGCTGCGTTTAACGGGATTTTCGACAGCAGTATGGGTATTTTCGCCTACCATTGAGCATTGGGTTACTTGCAGTTTTACCTGGGAATTTGGGAGCAATTTCTTCTTGGAGGGGGGAGTAGTGCAGCTGTGCCGCAATTTTCGTCCAACCCTTCCAGCATGTCCCATAATCCTTTTCGAGCAACATGCGTCACCGTTACGCTTCTGCGCTTGATTTCGTTACTTCGTTGATGGAGTTCGTTGACTTTCGTGGGACACGGACGCGTGCTCTCGCATGTGACACAAACGACCTCGCGTGTTGATGAACAGGGCATCGTCATCCGACAGCCCACATCATTCGACAGTTCATCATTACTCGGGATATTCATAATGCAGGCGTCATCATCAATCGCCTAGTTGACAGAGTTACTGTTTACCGTCTTCCGCTTGAGTATTAACCCTTGCCCGTCGGTCAGCTGAAGAAGTCGATTATCTTCAACGACTCCGATCGATCACGATCGCTGCGACATGTCTCAGCCGTTGGATGAAGTTTTACCTGATGAAGTCTCGTCATCATTGCGCCCATCAAGATTCAACGATCAGAATCTACCGCGATCGTTTCGATGCCTTCTGGCCTTTGATTTCAGTTAGTCCTCAAGACCTCGTCAGGCCGGCGTAATCATTACGCTCGCCACAGGGCTGAAGACTTACAGTCACATCGGGGATTACTTTTAATGACTGTTCGGCCTCGATAAAGCGAGTTCCTTCCTTTAGAATGTGGGAGAGTGTAAGGAATTACCATTCCATGCTGAGGCTCGCCACAACAAGTACACGCGAGCCTATCGGGTCCGTAGGCTCGGCCCTTGGTTCTCGCACCAAACCAGCCCCCGCCGACCTATTCGACCCCAACCTGATCCCCATTCGCCCCGAACCCATTTTGACCCCGTCACCCTCGGGACTATCGAGCCCTTGACTGGTCCAACCCTCGACATTCACCCTGGTCAACTCGCCCTATATATTTCGTAGGCCTCATTTCTATTGAGACATTATGTAATCACGTTCCCCTAAAGTATTATGCGCTATACTCTGAGTTATAATTCATAACATATGGAGTGGAGAGGTATTATGAGACTGTTCTTGTTACGTGTAAAATAATATGCCCTACTTTTAGGGTTGCGGAGCAACCTTTTGCAATCGATCGGACCAATTTTTTCTCATCCTAAATTTTAAAAAATACACAAAACCACAAATAATACAGAATTTTAAGCTAGCTTATTTCTGTTACATTCAATGTATACTTAGAAGACATTATCTTACTTGTGATCCAACGTAATGGTTGAAAATATGTGCAAATATTTTCAGTGGACGCACAACAAATTACAAACCAGGAAAGTAATAGAAAACAAATGTCGATCATTTGTTTCCTACCATTTGTTTTCTAGCTAACAAAAAATACAACATATCTATCACTTCCCCTGTGCTACCAAGGGGGGAATGTCAACATATTAGTGTATATTGTTATTGTTGAAGTATACTCGACAAAGTATACTTATGCATTCCTGATATAACACTCAGACTGTACTAGTAGCATGATACCTCATATGGAAGGACGCGCGTGATGAGGTCAACAGTAGCGAGTCAACGCGTGAACAGTAGGTTCACGCGTATAGTCACCCGAAGGGTCACGCCACTCTCAGTCACACGAACAGTCACTAAGTCATATCCACGAATAGTCGCGTTACACTACGAACAGGTACATCCGAATAGGTAATTTCTAAACTATAAATATGTTTGTATTATCCATTATAATCATCCTTGTCATTTTGGACATTTCCAATACAAGGTGTAAAGTCTTCCGCTGAATTTTACTCGTGGTTCCACCTAATCCAGATTCTGGCCACCCTAAACAAGTGGTTCACTATTTCATGGTATTCTGTGCTAGTGGAGTTACAGGAAATGTTTTTGAAAGTGTGTAGCACTTTCTAAAAATGTGTATTGTGAAAGTGTAACGAGGGCCAACGCAGCAAAGGCAGCGTCGAAGTGCTGCTCACCCTCTTTTGCCTACAAAAGAGGGACGTGAGGCCATTCGCCCTCACCAAAGTTATTCATTTCTAGTTTCTCTAGTTCAATTTCCTTAGTTTCTCATCCAACTTGGGGAAGACCCAGTCCCTCCCCCAAGGCAAGGCTCCGACGACGCTCCTCACCGATATTTTGCAGCACAACCTCGCTAATATGGCGTCGGCGAACACGACTCCGAATCGTCCGACGAATAACCCCAACAATTCCGCGGAGCCCGGAACTTCGGCCGGGGCAACCGCCCGTCGCCAGAAACGTCCTGCTGAGGAAAATTTTGGTGAGGGGCCCTCGGCTGTCGAGGTTCTGCTCGGCGCCAATCACGCTGCTCCCGAAGAAACTTGCGCGGCTGCTTCGAAGCCGCGCATGCTGCCAACGGAGGACCACGCGCCTGCGCACGTCGCGACGGCTGTAGGCCAGGCGGTCCCCACTGAGCACAAGTCCGTTGATGAGGTCGTGCCAGCCGCCCCCGCCCCCGTGTTGACCGCGCAACAGCTCCAGGTGCTTCTGGCGCTGTTACACCAGCAGCCGAAAGTTACGCTCAGAACATCTTCGGACAATATAACTGCTACGACCAATTTCGCCAAGAAGAAAGAAATGCCACCACTAACTCGCGCGCCAAAGGCACCGCGCGTCGACAACCAGCCCTAGGCACCGACTACTGCACTCGCCGACGACACTGACGACATCGACGACTCTGAAAATGATGATGGTAAGGCTCCTGCCAATATTGCTCGCCATCTCATTCTCACCCCTGCCCCCTTCTTCCCCCCCTTGGTCCCACGCCCGCAGCAACTACCTTCATAAGGGCGTGCATGACCAGGCCGAAGTCTTCACTGCTATCCAAGCGTACCTGTAGCACATCGACTTCGAGCTGCAGCACGGCAACGTCACCGGCGCGCTCAACAACGTGAAACACATCGAGATGCTTATTAATAAGCGTTTCGAGGTGCTTCCCGTGGCGGATGAG